ACATCACCGATATAGATTGTTTCTATTTAGTGCTATATTGTTTCAAGTCCTTTCTCAGTGCTTTCTTCTTGAGCTGTTTTTCTTTTATCTTATGCTTAGTTAAATAATCTCTGGCATAAGAAAACAACCTGACTCTTAAGTAAAGTTTAATAACATTTTCCAAACAAAGTTTTTGGGTGGAACTGGAGTGATCCACCCCCGCAGACATAACAATGTTATCCCACAGTGACTTGACTACAGGTGATTTCAAGGCATTACTACATATAGCATCAGTGGGTATCTTTCTCAATGTACCTTTGGTTAATTCAGAAACTTGTTTTCGAAATAAATATTCTGCTTCTTCTAAAATCCCCACCAGGTCTGTTGAAGGATTAACAAGTCTACCTCTGGAACGTGCAGAAATAAAACTTGTGGACTGATCAATTGACTTCATGCTTTGCAACAGAGACTGTAAATCCCGGTTTTGGTTCCCAGCCTTTTGTTTGTTCTTTTGAAAAAGCTTCGAAACCACATAGCCAGCAACGTATGCCAATGGCCCACGTTCAGCTGGATCAAGTTTTTTGGCATTTGAAGCTTCTGTTTCCCCAGTACATGCTTTATTACTTGTGTGGTAAAATCCGACAAGATGATCAGGTATGTGAATCATTATCAGATTTGCAGCCCTGTAGTCCTTGCAGTTCAGTAAATTGCCCAATCTTGGTATCAAAGCAAAAAACAATTCTACAAGTTTGTCTTGGTTTTTCAAGGATACAAGGCATCATATAAAGCTTTAGTTGCAGTTGCTGTCTTAAAACCGTTGCTCATTTCGGTGCCATATAACGTACTCTCAGTTATTTTGCTCTTAAACGGTTCAATTATCGAAGCAACCGTTTCAAGGGAAAAAGACTTCAAAAGCAATGACTCTTCGGCTGGAACTTGGCCATGTTTAGAGTTGATATGTCTGGTAAGGCCGCCTTTCGATTTGCAAACTTTCTCACATTTCTCGCACGGAAAAGATTTGATGCCTTCGATTTCAACCAAAGCATCATTGAATTCCTCTTCGATTTCTTCACCTTCAAGCTCTGCAATTGAAACAGTAAGATTTAACAGATATAAATCCGTCTCACTGTCTTTAAATTCATTGGATTCATCAACCTCAACTGAAGTAATCGAACTGCTAGGTTTGTCTTGTGGTTTGCCCGCTTCCAATGCAACACTCATTGCACTGTCTTCATCGTCGGTATTTTGCTCTTCAGCTGTAGAAATTTCTGCAGCAACACCCTGAAAATCTTTGTCGACATCCATACAATCCTTATTAGTTGGTAAACAATCCTCAGCAGATGACAAACTCTAACAATAGATCGATATGTTATATGTAATTTGATCTAATTGTTTGTTATCGCTTCTGTCATCACGCTGAGAAAATGCAGGCACCGGACCACGTGACCATATTTTTATTGGCTCCCGACATATTATCGCGAGCCCTTTGAAGTTTGCCGGCTAGCCTAACCATTTCCCTCGATTAACTGTGATGAAAACAACTTGCAGCGAAATGACAACAGAGGAAACGACATATATAATGATGCTTATATAAACAGCAAAACGTAAGCACAACATATGGTACCTTGACCATAGCATTGTCATTGTAAAGTCCTGTTCAGTGCTAGTGTCTGCAGTACTTTAATGCTGCAATTCTTGATCATGCACAGATCAGAGGTCTTTGACAGCCAGGTTGGATCCAAAATAGTATAGATACCCTCTTCTTTATATTATAAGATAATATTCAACATCTAACAGCATGATAGACAGGGTTCTCCTTATCAGGCGGTAACCGGTAAAATTTACCGTCTCCAGCACCAGTGTTTACCGCCTATGAGCGGCTTGGAGTTTGTTTATATATTTGTTAAAAACGATAAAATACATAGTGCAAAAATAGTGTAATCACCTCATATATATTTCTGAGATATGTAACCATTATATTTTTTTCCGTACATTTAACAAAGTGACACTATGGGTAGTGTATGAGTATCTAAAGTATCTAAAACCGATCGATCGAGAACAATTTTTGGCGGGCGTTCTTATTAATTCAATTAAACGTACGAGAAACGTGAAGGCACAATCCACTCACGTGCATGCACGTGTGGGAACACTGGGAACTGAGCGAAGACTAAAGTAAACGTGATGAAGCGTCAGCGAACTATAGAGTCATTTTCAAACTTTTTCCTAAACAAAACTCCACGGCAAGGATCAGGTAGGAATAAGAGTATTGACAGAGGTAGGAATAAGAATATTGCTGTGTAAACATTATAGTTTACTAAGATTTAGTAAACTATAATAATAGACAATAGCTAAATAATAATATATTTGTAAATTTATAAGCCGCGACATTTTAGGTGTGTGTACATTGCAAATTTTAATCGTTGGGTTCAATACTATACGAACTGTATCCACACTCCACGGCACACGCACAACATTATCAATTCAGTTAATATTTAAATTGATTCTGTTGTCTTTGTTTCCCATTGTCGCACTTCAGGCTTGTAGACCATTAAACTGGGGTTATACAAAGAATAATCGGTGCCATATTAATGTCTGTTGTATTTATATACAACTGTACTTGTACTTTGTAGTTGTCAAATAGTACCTTCTCACTTCCTTGAAAAGCAAATACTTTCAAGAAATACGAGAATTGAAGCCTGAAGGAACACTTATTTAGTGTACTTATTGTTGTCATGATTGCTCCTAGCGTAGTATATGCACTGCATACGCAACACTACAATTATTTATTACAATTTATACAATAACTGATCCTATTTCTTTGTTGAGCCGTTCAGTATAAAAAAAAACTGAGCAGACGTCTCTGTGTGGAACACACGTTTTTAACTATATTTGTATTTTTTGTGTTATAAAAATTTGCGTGTATTATAAACAATTGATCAGTTTGCCAATATTTAAAATAAACAAATTTAATGGCTAATTATAGAAAACGAAACCACATCGTCAGCAGCCGTGCTTCCGCTTTAATGGAATTTCCTTCTCAAAGGAAATTTTGAAAAAATAAATAAGATTCCTGCCGAGTGAACTAGCTCGGCAGGAATCTTGGCCTGCCAGTGAACTAGCTCGGCAGGAATCTTCTATAAGAGAAAATATCTATCTTTTAGATGACAACAATGACATCCTCGATAATCAGGAAGCTTCAACTGAAGAAATACCTTCAGAAACACCAGCTAGTTTAACTTTAATAGAAACTGAAACGCCAGCTTTAATTGGCGAACCATCCTCAGACACACCAGTTTCAAGTTACAAACCACCTGCAGAAACGGCACAAGCTTTCGAAGGCAAACTTTCCTCACACTCTCAGTCACGACCATCACCATTTGAATTTTCTGAAACACAGCATGTGTGCATGATAAAAGAAATATTTGATACTGACAGTGTAAGTGAATGTGATCATGTATTACACAATCACACGCTGTGCTCCAAGTCTGGCTGTAAGTCACTAACTGCCAGTGAACTAGCTCGGCAGGAATCTTCTAAGCCTCATGTTTTCAAACACGAATGGATTCATGACGAAATTGGATTTTGTAGTAAGACACATATATGGTGGTTGACACTTCACGAGGGGAAGGGGATGTTCTGTTGCCTTTGTAAGAAACACCTCAAAGCCAACAAGTGCACAAAGTATGCTACAATACCTGGCACACGATACAGAAAGGTAGCAATAATAGAACACGGCTCTTCAGAAGAACACGCACAATCAATACGGCAAGAACTACTTCAGCGGGTATCGTGGTTCCAAAAAGAGCTGAATAAAAAAGCAGAAGTTGCTGATGAAGTACTGGTAAAAGCTTTTGCTGCATTTTATTTCACTGCCAAAGAAGAAATGGCCAATTCGAAAGTTATGCCACTCATTAACTTTCTAAGACATTATGGTAGCCCTGATATGAAATACTTTGATCACAAATCAGAAAGGTGCAAGCAAGAAATTTACCTAGCTATTGGTGAAACCCTTAAAGCTCAAGTAGTCAAAGAAGTAGCGTGTGCACGTTTCTTTTCTTTGCTTTCTGATGAGGTAAGTGATGTTGCTGTAACAGAGCAATTAGTCACTTTTGTCCAGTATGTCAGCAGTGATGTTCAGGTGGACACCAAATTTTTGTCCGTGCGAAACCTCCTAGAGCACCACAATAGTGCCGATGCAGATGCGATTGTGGATATGTTTGCTCAAGAGATAGAGGAAGATAAGCTTCAGTGGGCTTCATTGGCAGGATTAGAGTCCGATGGCACATCTGTATTCACAGGCAAAAGGGGCGGAGTTGGCGTGAAACTTAAGAAAAAGCAGGAGGAGCATATGGGGGGTCGGTCACCCATAATGCAACAGCTATGGTGTGTATGCCATCGTTTGGCATTGGCATGCGCTGGCGCCAACAACACAGTAAAATACGTCACTCTTGTTGAAACTAATTTGCGCCAGTTATGGTCTTTGTTTGAAAATTCAAACAAGAAGACAGCAATTTATGTCAAGGTTCAAATGAACATGAAGAGCCTAAACTCAACCCCAAAAACCAGGAGCAAAGTCACGCGCAAGGTGAAAAAGGCATGTCGAACAAGGTGGCTATCATTGGGGAAAGCGGTCAAGAGTCTGCATCAAGACTACGCGGCAGTTCTAACAACCCTGAAAGTACTCGACGACGAGCAGCATGATGCGGCCGCAAAAGGATTGTTTATGCGCTTGAACACCTTCAAATTCATTGCGACAACTTACATCTTGAACAGGCTGATTCCGATTTTGGACTTAGTCTCCAAGTCATTCCAAAAAGGGTCAGTAACCTTTTCACACATAGCACCAAATCTTGCATATGCAAAGGCGAAGCTTAAAGAAGAAGCGCTTAGTCACAAAGCAATCCATGATGCTGTCCAAGATCTGAAACCCAATGGTCGTCTGTCTGTCCAAGGTGTCGAAGTACAAGTTACAGAGTGTGGTCTTGTTGAGGTGGATAACCTGCTTCATCGATATGTCGCTGCTCTTACCCAACATCTTGATGAACGCTTTCAAGAAAGTCTCCCATTGTTTTCTCTGTTCTCGATCTTTGATCCTTCTTTGTTGCCTGCTGTAGACTCAACAGAGTTTTCGGAATATGGGAAAGGCGAAATCAGCGATATTGGAAAGATATATGTTCCAAATAGAATACCCGAAGTGGTTGCAGAGTTCGAGTTGTTCAAGTTCCACATGGCTAAGTTCAAGATTCCTGAACCAAGTAAGCTGGTGGGTGAAACACAAACCGAAGTTGTGTTGAAGAAACTTGTACATATGAAGCTCCTTTTCCCACTTCTTAGTTTATTTGCAGAAGCAATCCTGAGCTTGCCAATATCAAACGCCTGGCCGGAGCGTGGCGGTAGCGCGATAAAGAGAATTAAAACAAGACTCAGGTCTCGCCTCTCAAATAAAATGCTAGAAAGTCTACTTCACATATCCATAAATGGCCCTGAAATTTGCACAGAAGAGTGCGATCAGCTCATTCGGGAGGCTGTTCAGCTATGGCTCGACAAGAAAAAAACGGATAGGAGGAAGTTACCGAAAAGAGCACCAGGGTTTGTCTCTTCACACAGGAAAGTGTTTGTGAGCACTGGTACTCAGTCTGACTCTGAACCTATGTTGCAGGTAAATATAACTGCCGATTTCTCAAATTTTTTATTAAGTAAAACGTTATTTTTTAGTGTAATATTGCTATAAAAAATTTATTTCATAGACAATGACACTCACTGACTGTCTGTTGCAAAAGTATTTGCTTATCACAAGTTATATAATTATCTATCCAAAATCAAATATGTAATGGTCCAGTTAACGAACTGCTAATGTAGTATTAGTAGTCTGTACACATATATACATGATACTTCCTAATCAATATCTTCTTCAATTACTTCAAGGTGGATTCACTTTCGGTAAATGCAGATGGTTCACCGAAGCAGATAGAGGTTGACCTAAATGAGGATCCAGAGTCTGATCCAGATGGTGACCTTGCTGCTAAAACTGTTACGGACAAAGCAGCCTATGTAGACCCCGCTGCTGGAATAGATAATGCTGCTTTGAATGACACGCAGATTCTATTTTTAATGAACGTGTCCCCAGATGAATATAACGACTGCATAGAAGATAATGATGATCTTTCTGCGAACGAATCTGGATTGTCGGATGAAGAACTAGAGTTCTAGTTAGGTTACGTCCTAGTGTCCTAGACTTACACATGTATTAGTAATTACACAATTACAGTTGGTTTCAGCAAACGTTTGAAGCTAGAGTTTCGAACTTTATTGTTTATTAGTAATGATATCATTTGATATCAATATGATGCCATTAATAGTTCATAAGTTTAATTTATGTATCTTTATATAGTGCAACTATACATTTCTTTACAAATGGCAAACCTTTGCTCTCAGTACAACGTTAGTATACAAGTTGTGTAAAATTACTTAATCATCAGTCCATAAACCGCTTGTACTTAGTTCGATTCTGAAAATGCCAAATTTCAAAATGTTCCTGAGGACCATGCCCCAGACCCCCTAGGGAGCGGGGTCTATGAACCCGCGACGATGGTTTACCTGTTGAGAAAACACTTTTACCTGTTGTACTCACATTTGTGGAGAACCCTGGATAGATACCCTCTTCTTTATATTGTAAGATAATATTCAACATCTAACAGCGTGTTGCTTTTCAGACAGCAAATGCTTTCCAAAACAGAGTCTATGATCACTCCTTGCAGCCAGAATAAGTTACATTGTCGAATGTTTAAATAATCTGTAAGTGTGTACCATAAAATTATACTAAACTTGATTGTGAATATGTTTTTTGCGGCATAAAAACTGTTCATACATTGGCATAATTTCTACTGTTTTCAGCCTGTCAGGGTTCTCAAGTACCAAATGGCGAAGTATTCAAATAAAATTTAATTTAGCATTGACTGACAGACGAGCCAATAAGCGAAGAGATACCAATACACACAGTGTTCTGATTGGCACAGAATCAATTTGCAAGCTTGCCAGTTTTGACTTGCGACTTGCTCAAAACTGGCTTAAAGTCTAAACAATCTGACCATTTGTGCCCTGGAGATGGGAATGAGAAAAATAGTTGTAAAAACGATAAGGTACATTAGTGATAACGATTAATACATATTAAATGACTGATAAGGTTTGATCGTATGATGGTTAATTGACATTTTCCCTCTACTTCTTGTTAATTTCAACTTTGTTACCAGGGCATACAGTAAGTTCATTGGTTCCATGCTGTTTGACAGACTTAAATCCAATGCTATTTAGCATGCAAGAAAATCGGTCAGAAACCCACAAAGTTTTTCAAGTTTAAAATTTTAGTTTTTCAAAAATAATGAACAATGACAATACTGTTGCAAAGAAGGATTTTACAGCAAGTTTTAAAAGCAAAAAAAGAAGTTTTTTAATGATCTACAACAAAAATTTGGCATGAAATTAAATTGAAAGGGTAATTTTGAGTAGAAATATGCGATCAAACACTCACCAAATTCGACTGCATTAAAGTTGGTTGAATCTAGTTTAAAGTGATCTTTTTAGCCAAACTGTTTATGCAAATTTGGGCGCAATGTCGACTGTTTTCGTCACCCCATTGTTGGTCTTCTTGTTGAAGTTGCTATTTTAGCTAAAGTATGTTTCAAACGACACCAGATTAAATTACTGTGTGCGTATGTGCCCTTTTTTTTGGCAAGAGTACTTCGAGTATTAAATTACACTAAATAAGTAGGATATTCCAAAATCACTGTTATATCTATTTTCATAAATTTATTAGTCTTAAAATAACAACTCGTTTCAGACATATTGTGGTTTGAAATAAGCGTATTGAATTAATGCGCTTGCTTGCTGTGTGCGAATTCTCAAAAAGTCTGCACTTGATTTCTAATGCTTTTAAAATGCTTTTTGTATTGGGTTTTATATCCCCATAAAACTTTAAATCGATATGATAGATAGTAATGTTGATGCAACCTCATCTTCTAGTAACTACATGTTGAATCAGAATGAAAAGTTATCAAAATAGGTCGCGACGGTTGTTTGTCGTTGTCGTTCCTAACAAAAACATAAATTTAGCCGTCCTTTTGGGCCCATTGCTCACTTATTTATCATGAAATCGCTTCACTAGAACATTTTTAATAATGTCTATGGGAAACTTTGTAATGTTCTGAACTAAAAGTATATGGTTTTGAGGCGTTTATTTTATAAGATAGCACACACAACAAAATGGCACTAATGACGGTAATGTGGTTTCTCACGTCTGACTATAACAACCAAAGATGAAAGTTCTTATTTCACCCTTTTATAGCTATGTGGAATACCTAATATTAGATTGTCTTTTTCATTTGAGCATACAGATAACATTTCTACACAATTAATCCTTATGAAGGCTTATTTCAAACTAAAAAAAGCGATTGTTTTTTAGAGCCAGACTTCAAAAGAGAATGTGTGTGTCTGACATTTTATAGCGGCCTACATTGACGCGCAACATAATTTTGGCTAAAAACGTTGCTTTTCCAACAAAAACATGAGAACATTGAGCTAAAAGTCTTACCTGATGTACGTTTAAAATGTTTTTCTTTTAATGGTGTTTTTCAGTGCTTTGAGTAGAGAAGTTAGTAGCTTTTGGTTTTGTCACCACAATTTGCCTTTGAAAATGTCAGCTGTCATTGTCTGTGTTAAAAACACCTCAGAACCTTCCCATCCTTGGTTTGAATTGAAAATAAATAGATTCTAGTACCATATGTCCTTTTAAATATATTTGAAGTAACTAAAAACTTGAAAGATGTACAAGCACTGTGTTTTGGCTTCAACACTTTGTTGAATTTTGAACACTTAGTTACTGTTCTAAATTTCATGTTGTAAACATCTTGCCCCAAAAAAGCAAAGGAGTATATTTTATAATTTTTTATCATTTTCTAATTCCTATCTCAATAGATGAAAATTGGTTATAATATAGATATGTACTAATTTAATAAATAATTTTTTCTGGTTTTTATATAAATTTATGGAGATATTGCCCCTGTAGGTAAAGAGTGACATTAAAAACGAAGTGTCACTGCTTTACAAATAAAAATTCTAAAAAACTAATGATACATATAGGTATGCAAGTTCATTTCAACTGAATTTGGTCAATCATATATCACTCATGTTTGGTTTAAAAGACCAGATTTGTTCATGCAACTGTTTCTGAGATAATGCCATTTTGGTGAAAGCTCTTGAATTCAATCGCATATTCACCATATTGCTTGGGCTTTGGGAGGTAGAAACATTGTAACAGCTTGCATGTTAATAAGTTAATTAAATAGCTTACATGGGAAATAACAATGTTAATCACATTTCTTTTCAGATTCAATATCCAGTTGACACCACAGAACATAAAGAGATTATTCCAATGCATACCTTTTTATGTCAATTAAAAAGACGATGGATAGAAAATATACGGTTTACAGGGGGGGTGAATAGGGGTATACAAATCCGCCGATCCGTCCAAATTTGAAGCAACATCCGCGATCCGACAATGGTCTTGTCTAAATTTGAATCTGCTAAAAGCTCTACTATGAAGTCACAATCTGAGATCCGAACTAAATTGCACGCTAAATCCACAATCCGAGTGAAAAATATTAGATAAGTCTGCAATCCACTGTATTAAGATCTGAAAATCTGTGTAAAATATTCGCCAGATCCGAAATCCAACCAATTTTTTCTGTGAAATCCGACAATCCAAAAACCTATTCACCCCCCCCCCCTTTACACCAGGGCAAATAAGCCATTATCGGTATCTGTCAGTGAAATTCCACCATTTATTGCCCCTAGTGTAGCAAGTCATCAACCAATCAACACCAAAATTCAAAAGAAAAGTGTTTACCTGAAAAAGGATATATTAGGTAAATCCGTAAATGTTCTGTTCTACTGTTATTACCAGACTTTACAGTGTTTAAAATACCGAAAAAAAACAATGTTTTCTGGATGTTTAACCTATTTGTATCGGTACGCTTTTAAATATTTAACTGGCATTAATATATTTGTTATTAAAAGGAAATCCACCTTTTCTACCGCATTGCGAATGAGGTTGATTACATGTATATATTATGATTTTTTTTTTAATGATTTATTTTTTTCCCTGTGATGTTACTCTGAGTGTATATCCACACCGCGCAAGCTTGAAAAATATTCCACAGTGGGAATCAAACTTACGACCTTTGGAATACTAGCCCTTGAGTACATTACACCAACACAGAACTCAACTAGAGGGCACTCAGAGACTGCATACCTCCGCCTACGTGCAAAATATTGAAGTAATCTATCGTTATTAGAATTTGAATGGCTGGTGCATATATTATGCACATCCTAATTACGCATTCAGTATAAAGTTTTATTTAATTGACCGGGAAAAGCAAGACAAACTTTTGTTATTTCTCATTCGGTTTTTAACCAAATTCAACCAAATTTTAATCAGTTCTTCCTTAGCCGATGGGAAATGCACTCATAAAATTTCGTACGGATATGTTTGGTATTTCTTGAGTTATCGTGCTCACAGACAAACACACACATACACACACACATACAAACCCAGATGATTACATAACCTCCTGGCGGAGGTAAAAATCATGAAATAAGTGAGGCAATTAAAAAACGAAATTATTTACACCACTGTGCTATCTCCACGAACACTCCCCTGTCTTGGCAATATTATAGAACTGCACGTAATTGAGTAGTTCACTTAATTAGAGACGCTAAACATACATTCTATACTAATTCCATTAATGCTAATCTTGATAATCCAAAAAATCTCTGGAAAATAATTCGTAATCTCGCTCCTTCCAGTCACTCTAACTCTCCTAACCACTTGACTATTGATAGTAAGACAATTGACTAATCCTAAAGATATCACTGATTCATTTAATGATCATTTCACTAACATACAAAACTCTGTTTCGCTTAATAGCTTCACTAATAATTCAAATTGGGACTACCTTTCTAATTTTCTTTCTTCTAAAATTCCTCCAAATACAACCCTTACTATCCCCCCAATATCTGAAAGTTTTGTTCGAAACAGCCTCAATCATCTGCCTGAAACTAAAGCCGCTGGTTTAGATAGAATTGGTGGATATTCTCCTAAAATAGCTGCAACAGCTATTTCACCTGCTCTGACAAAGATATATAATCTCAGTAGTAATTCGGCTAGTTTTCCTGACTTGTGGAAAATTGCAAAGGTTTCACCTCTTTTCAAATCGGGTTCACTTTTTGACCGTTCCAACTTTTGCCCTATCTCAGTTTTGGCCATTATCTCTAAGATACTTGAACGCCATGTTCATAATTCTTTTTATCACTTCCTGAGTATAATCTTCTTGTTGAAAATCAATTTGGGTTTACAACATCTTGCTCATGTGAATTAGCAGTCACTCATCTTAGTGATAAAATTTTAACTAATATTGATAACAAAAAATTAAATGGACTTCTTGTTGATTTCAAAAAGGCTTTTGATCTTGTTGATCATGAAATCCTAATTCTATGCAGGATTAAACCCTTTTTAACTAAGGACTGTGCTCTTTGTTTCTATGTAACTCCTGTATTAATTTAAGTCTTATCTACTGCTCTGTAACTTGGGAAAACTGCTCAAAAACACATTTACTTCGCACTCTTCGACTGCAAAAGCGTGCAGCACGTATTATTCTAGACGCGGACTTTTCTACTCCTTCTGTTCTTCTTTTTTCCCAGATTCGAATAATCCCAATCTTTGATCTTGTTAAATTTAGGAAGCTTCTCTTACTAATTAACATTCTCACAAATCCCAGTGCTCCATCTTCATTTAAGCAAATGTTTAAATTCTTATCTTCTATTTGACAACAGGCTCTGACTAGAGCTTGCGCATATGACCTTCAACCCCCCTTCCCGCGTACTGACTCTGGTAAACGAACATTTCTGTACAGTGCTTCCATTCTTTTTAATTGCTTAGATAGCGATTGTAAGCAACTTGCTGCTTTGCCATCTTGCTCTTCATATACTGACGCCAAACAAAAAATTCGTAAAATCTTTCTTAACAAGCTTAACCTTACTAACCATATCGAAGATCTATTTTGTATAAATTGTAAATATTTACTAAATTGTAATTGTATTCATTACTAATTATTTTTTTCTCAAATGCAAATAGCCGTAATATTTAATACTTTTTATGCCTGTAAATATCACAATAGTGCAAGGGCCGTATATTAGATAACTTTTACGGTTAATACTTTTTCCCTCATGAAATAAAGTTTCTATTCTATTCTATTCTATGATTATACCAGATTGCATTGATATCGAAGGAACTAGATTCTGTTCCGAAATATCACATACTCGAACCAACCTGGCCGCGTAGCTCAGTTGGCAGAGCATTGGGCTAGTATTCCAAAGGTCATAGGTTCGATTCCCACCGTGCACAGGCATTTTTCAAGCTTGCACGGTGTGGATATACACTCAGAGTAGCATCACAAGCATCATATTTACCTGTGTGCATTACACCAACACAGAAAAAAATCATGATTATACAAGATTGCATTGATATTGAACGAACTAGATTCTGTTCCGAAATATCAGATACTCGAACCGACCTGACCGCGCAGCTCAGTTGGCAGAGCATATTGGGCTAGTATTCCAAAGGTCGTAGGTTCGATTCCCATCGTGGACAGCCATATTTTTCAAGCTTGCGTGTTGTACGATTAAACCAGTTTTTAGCATTCCTAGCACAGATCAGATTTAAAGATCTGATCGAAAAGATTACACAGCTACAACATCACACAGCTATAGCAGCTGTCAATTTTTTGTGTTAAAATTGCAAAAGAACAGTATGGAAAAACTTGGTCACACTTGTTGTCTGCCATCAGAATACTACTTCTTAGTCCTTGTGGTTATATATTGAATACCGCTTTCAACCAAAATCGTAGATCATTGATCATTTGTATATTCTCTTTTTACAGAAACGGGAAGCAACTGACAATTAATTGAAAAATCGACAAATTTATTGTATTTAATTAGTCACATGTTAGCATATTAAATGGGGTTTATGTCTTTATTACCAAGAAAGTTAATTTGCATGTTTTGTGTTGAGAAATTTGTGAAATTAAAGCCCCGTTTACACTTCGCTCAATTTTTGGTACCATACCACTTTTTGGTTCTTGGACTACCTAAATAGGTAGCTAAATAGGTAGTCCAAGAACCAAAAAAGTGGTAAAGGTACCAATTTTATCCGTGCCGTACTAAAAATTGAGTGTAGTGTAAACAGGGCTTAAAATAATTAAAAAGATATATACCGTGTAAATTACATCAATTCACAAATGTTGAACCAAAAATTGCAAAGATACAATTTACATAACAATACAACTGTCTGCTTTTTGGTTAATAGTCGAAATATGTCTGACGAACAAGGGTGGGATTGACTACAAAATTTTTGTAGTTTGACTATGTAGTCAGCTACAACTACTGCTATTTTTGAACAAAGGTAGTTAGATACTGACTACAGCTACTGCTTAAAAAATGTAACGAACTATTTCGCTATGCTATATTTTTTAGTTTCACTGTATTTGGAGCACATCCTAACTCAGGCTGTAATGTAAGCTATAACAAATCGACTTATGAGTAGCACCAGTAAACACAAAGAACATTTTTGTAAACACTACAGTGTTCAGGAGTGCAAATTGACTATTGAGGATTGGTTTTAAGCAACCTGTGCCTCAATATCATGCTATTCTATCAAGTTGCTAACAATTTAAAAAAAGTAGCGATTTGCTGTTTGAAAAGTAGTCAACTACTTGGCTACTTTTAGGTAAAATGTAGTTTGCTATAACTACAGCTACAGTTTTAAAAATTAGTCAAAAACTACTGGCTACTTGAAAATTGTAGTTCGCTACAGTAGTAAACTACAACTACTTCGCTACTACCCACCCTTGCTGACAAACAAACAAATAAAAAATGAAAGCAACTGCAAAAACAACCTACTTTTTAGCAAGTCGATTTTCTCGCACAAAGCATAAAGCCTCATTAATATTATTATTGTGACTCAACCTATGCAAAATGGGTGATTCTTGTTGGATGCTGATCCTCTTGTTGCGTTGGGCATATAATAATTATTTGTCTCCATGATGTCCTTAATTTTATAGCTATTGTAAACTATAGCACACAGAATTGTTTAAATGCAGTTGTAAGCACTGAATTATTTGCGTACAGTTTTAAAATTTCATGTAACATATAGATACATGCGGTAGATGAAGGCGAAATGGATGGCAACATGGTCATTGAGAATCTTACTATGCTTAACATAAGGTACGATGAGGTACAGCTCTCCAATCAGAGGTAATGAGGTACACTTTTGTCTTCTAAATATCCCTCATCAAGCATGCAAGGGGAAAATTAAAAGAAATCCTTTGTTTTCAACGAAATATTTAGAAATTTAGAAGACAAAAGCATATGCATGGGTAATGAGGGAAATACGCGATTAAAAGTCCCTGTTGAAACAAAAGAAACCGAGGCTACTATGCGTTTATTTTAAATAAGGACAAGGTAAGCAAATTTACAAATGATTCATTTCAAACTTTAATATATTAAATTTATAGGTATAAAATATATCTTGCTTGCTCTTTAATACCATGAATTTTTGAAATGAAAACGTTAAACTTATAGGTAACTAAGGTTCGATGAGGTACACCTCTCCAATCAGAGGTAATGCGGTATGCTTTTGTCTTCTAAATATCCCTCATCAAGCATGCAGGGGAAAATTAGAAGACGAAGAAATCCTTTGTTTTCAACTAAATATCCCTGTTTCCCGTGGAAATTTAGAAGACAAAAGCATATGCATGGGTAATGAGGAAAATATGCAGTGCTGTAAAAGTTACAAATTTTTTGGAACTAGTTACAGTTACATTCCCAAAAAAGGAACTAATTACTGGTAAAAGTTACACTTAAAAAATGTAACTAGTTGCCGTTACAAAATTACTTCAATATTTTTATAACTAGTTACAAGTTACTTCAAGTAAGAAAAACCCAGTATTTTTTCAACTTAATGATTAGTGGTCAGCAGATTGACATTAATTATTTGTAAGCATTATGTGACCTTACCACTAATGGATCTCTCAGCTGTGTTAAGCACTGAAGCATGCGTTGTCATAGAAAACCGTGAGGAGAATTTCGAGAACTGAGAGGTGAATTGTAAGTTTTAACTGCAAGAATGTAACGAAAAAACTAACGTAAACGTTGGCTATAAAAGTAACACGTTATCGTTTCATTTTAGGCCAAAATGTAACTTGTTACAGTTACTCAAAAAGTAACGATTACTTGTAATTTCGTTACTTGTAACGAAGTTACTTACAGCACTGGAAATACGTGATTAAACATCCCTGTTGAAACAAAGGAAACCGAGGCTACCATGTGTTTATTATAAATAAGGACAAGGTAAGCAAATTTACAAATGATTCATTTCAAACTTTAATATATTAAATTTATAGGTATAAGATATATCTTGCTTGGTCTTTAATACCATGATTTTTTGAAATTAAAACGTTAAACTTATACTTAAGGTTACATCATATTGTCACTGCATGCTCAATTTTTTAGTTACGTTCCTCACATTTGGTACATGCAATGATAACTGTAGAAGCCACTGTTTTAACCAGAATTCACCACCTTTTAACCTGTAGTCGCAATGAGACATCTTTTGAAAAATAGCACCTCTTGCGCCAGGAGATTTAACGACAGACCATTTAACTCAGGAGCTCCCAAAATATATTTCTCATCTCGAATGTCCAAAGAAGAAAAGTGTGTTCGCATTTTTTGACAGCTATTGTATTCACTTTGATATAAAGCAGACAACTTGACTTATCTTGTGCTGGTACAAGCGGTTGAGGAGATGCTTCTAAATTGAAAAATAATGCACTAAATCGAAAATGCGAACACACTTTTGTTCCTTTATTATTAACATTGTGGTCAAGTTTGGGACAAATCAGATAAAACGCTCTGTAGTTAAACTCTTTTTTGTCAAGGAGATTGGGTAATTTTGCTTTGTCTTCAAATGACCATATAAGATTTGGTGAGGTTTCCACTCTTTCTATCATTTTCTCCACCCCCAATGTTAATCCACTTGTGGCCAAACTACAAAGTGTGAACTTTGCTGGCATCAAATATCAAGGTGTGAAATTCACTAAAGTACAAGTTATTGTTCGGAGGCATATATCATTGTGACAACATTAGAACGCTTATAATATAGTATTTACAGAGTCTCTCGAAGTTCAAGCTATGCGCGATGTTGGCTTCAGTGACTTTTCTACTGCATTTGCATTTTGGCTTAATAGACCTTTCCTTACTAATTGTATTTAACCGCAAGAGGTCAGACCGACAATTTGAGTCAATCATAATTACAAGTTTCGCACAAAGCTATTCAGTGGTCATAGCATTTTCTCCTATATCATTACTTATAGATATATCATTACTTTATATAAATATATAAAAAAAATTTTTGGACAAAATCATAGTCTCATCATATATTGTAACCTTAATAACATCTTTGTTCAATATTAAATACACAGTACAAAATCGTGCAGTGTTTCACCGTCTCGAGTTCTCTAACTTCTCTTGGCTCTTCAATCTCTTTAAGACAACCAAGTTACTGGTTGCGGAACAGAATCGTCTTTGTGAGGTGGTGCCTTGAACTGGGCTTTCCAAAGTTAATGACAGCCTTAGAATATAGCTTTGAGTAAGAAGACAACCTCAGGTTTAGATATGTGTTAGCAACATACTTCACCAGGCACAATCTGTGGTCTTCAGTTGGCACTTGGCATTTCATTCACTGCCGCAGGTAGATGGTTGGGAGGAAGCAATTCCGTTTTTTTTTGTATATATTAAATTGTATATATAAATTCCAACCTCATCAGAGTACAAATATTCTAGCCAGATGGGTCTGGAGAGAATGGGAAATTTGAATTTTTACAGTCTCTGAAATGCTATTTCTCGCATTCTGGGATGCGACTGAGGGGCCATGTTGTAATGCATAATTATGGTTATTTTTTATTTTTTTTATTTAAAAAATTTGCCCTATTTACATAATTAAGATAGAATATACAGTATAATGTCAGTTGAATACTAGAGCTAGGAGCCTTTAAGAAACTTTAAGAAGCTTTTAGTTTGCCCCTATTACAGCAAATATTAAATTCAAACAATAGCTATATGTCAGTTAATATATAGTACATAAAAATTTAAAGAAAGTTGTGATATAGTTTTACAATAATATAGATATACAACAAATACGAAGTTAGGAGTGCATGATGATGGAAGCATTGTTTTAGATGTCCATGAATAATATAATGCTGTATTATTATTCTTGTACTTGATAATAAATTTTAGCTTCTTTTTTGAACGATTGGTAAAATTTAATGGATTTTAAATCTTCTTTCAAATTATTCCAAATTTCTACTCCTTTACTGGAGAGAGTATGTTTCATGTAATTAGTTCAGGTGAACAGGTGGGAAATTTGTCTGAGCATGCGCGAGTAAAATGAGCCACACAATTGCGTGGAATACACGCAACGCGTGTTTACAAAAAGGCACAATCGTGTAAATATTGCCAAATGTTTGTACAAAATAAATGACTGTTTTATGTTGAAGGAGTGGACATGATCTGAATTAATCATACAGAATTTTTTAGTGACGTTCTATTTCAGTACCCTGCCATTGTCTCTGGTGGGTTGTCCGTGTGCATTCGATCTGAAACAGTTGCTACTTTGCTGTCGAAGAATTTCGAATGTTTACATGAAAATAGAGGCAAGTCATGCATTTTACAACCTCGTAAACTGTATGAGCCCCTATTTTTACGCTCATACCTAAGATATCAAATAAAAGTACATGAAACAGAGAACATTTGTAGAAAGTTTTACCGTGAGGCCACGGCCAAGTTTTTAAAATATCTTTATTTCTGTTCCGGTCATCACCAAAATTACACAAAAGCCGGGCTTGAATATACAACAAATTTGAACCTCATCAAGCACAAAAATACTTAATGCGTAACCAAAATATGCTCATGAAATCGAAATGAATAGCTAAATTTTCAAACTAGACCCTTCTCGAAGCGGTTTTCATGAAGGAAGTTCACATTTCGGCCTTTGATTCTTGGCAAAAATTTGACCACAACATGTGCGAAGCAACTGGGTCTCAAAGACTGAACTAAAACATTGTGAGCCCCTATTTTCCTGACGATATGTTTGATACCTACAAACGCCGAAAAGTTTTTTCTTTTCATTTAGCTATATTTGAAATTGAGGCCACGGGCTATTTTTGAGAAAATACAGTTCAAAGTCAAGCTATTTTTACATATTTTCAAAATTTGTCAAATTTCGCGAGCTTGTATTTTGAACTTAGACAGCTGAAGTTACATTAAGAAACACAGGATGGAAAATTTGAGGCATATAAAGTTAATTTCAACTTACATTTCATTCTTAAATCATGTCTTTCTTCGTTTATTACGGTTTTAAACAAGCCATAGATCGACGTATACGGTATTTACTCCCATGTTCACGTCGCCATATTAACTTCTTCCAATCATGCGATTACAAAACAATCATCCCAAAACAAAGAATTCATGATCGACTTTTAAAAGAATAACCAATAATTTGTAAATCGTTGAATGGAAAGCAAAAAATCGTCAGCTAAAACAGCTTCTTGCTTTGTTTTGAATGCAAATGCAATGAGCTTTGTTTCTGCCCGCAATTTTTTGGTCAGCGACGACAAATTTCCCACCTGTTGTTCAGGTGTAGGTTTTATGTAGTTTTTTGGAACTTCTAGTATTGTGATGATGAATTTCATTATTAGTTTTGAAAAAATTGTTGAAAATTTCGGGCATATTGTTCATGTTGTAAAATTGAAACATAAATAAATTAATAAAAATAATTAATAACTAATTAATAATTCATTAATTATGGCAAAATACACTGTATGTAATTTATAACAGTCAGTTACTTTAAGTAAGTTCTTTAGTAAGGAAGCCAAGACACCAGAAACAATAAAATCCCCCCCTATGCAACTGTAATTTGTTAAAAAACAACTGATAAACCAGTTTGTAATTATTAAAAATAAATGCAAAAATCAATTTTGTGTGATCTTTTATTAAAGTGTAATAACAATGAACTGTATATACTAAACACAAATAAATTTGTTTAATTAACCCATATACTGACAGTACTCTACCACAGACAAGTAAAATTGTCTAGTGTTAGACAGAGTAAATTCCAATTAGTAGGGCACATTTGGGTGCACTGCCAGCTACATGGATTAACAAGAGACAGTGGTTGATTGGCAGTATAAGTGTGATAAGTTTGTTTACCCATTTACTGGCAGTATTCTACCACTGACGAATACTGGCTGTATTCAAATGAAATTTTGGATATAAAAGCACTTGAATAAAAGGAATATTTTTAGATATTTAACACAAAGATATTTAAAGATTTTTAAGAAAAGATATTTAAAGACGGTGACAGGCTTTGATATTATTAATGATGAAGGATTCAATGAAGCAAACAAAGTTTACTCGTCCAAATGTGTTCAACTGAAGAAGGAAGGACTAGCAAATGTGCAACACAAGCTTCCGATAGCCAATGCAGACTTGGAAAAACTTCCAAGTGCCCGGTTGTTAGCACATAGCCGCTTTATTGTTTTAATCAATTTTTAATAATTAACAAGAAAAATTATTAATTAGTAACTATATAACATTTAGCACAGAAAAGATGGGGGTATTACTAATGCCACAAGTCTCCTTGGGATAAAGGAGACACACCCCACCCCAACCTGACAAACCGTTTGCAGATGATCATGAAAAATATCTACATATACTGATACGACATGTTACGAAAACCTCAATCAATGTCAGTTTGACTGCACATGCTATTGTCCGTCGAAAGCAATGATCTTGCACTGGTGTACACATTTATTATTTAATTACCTATACAAGCCTCCACTGAAATAAACATGATCAGCTGAAATGTGAACCTTACCCCTGTGTCAGTCCAATATCCAACTGATGACGAATATTAAAGTGTCGCCAGAAGCGATAAAATACCGTATTATACCAGTTTCTAGCGAAATAAATATCAGCTGAAATGTAAACCTTACCCCTGTGTCAGTTCAACATCCAGCGCTGATGAATATAACGATAAAATATCTAGGTAATCACCAGCTTTGTGTGAAATAAACATGTATGATCAGCTAAAATGTGACTCTTACCCCTGTGTCAGTTCAACATCCAGCCGGCAATGGCGTTTGCGAAAAACAAAACATTTGTTGTACACACTGTTATTAACAAACTTGATAAATTAAATTTAGAAACGTGAATTGAGGTTATATGTATATGATAGTCCGGAATGACTGTTGGTGATGGATGAATGTTGGCCGATGCGAGCTGTATCAACGTAGAAACCTGCATGTGTCCAAGATAAAGGGTTCCCTGAAACACTTTTTAATCCAGATAGGTGCCGAGTACGAAATAAAGATATACCTAATGCTACTAGAAAATACATGCATGCAGAAACCCTCGCCTTGCTGACAAAACCATTGTATTTTCCGAACATGAAGTATTTAAAGTAGTTGTCATGGTAACATGAGAATTTTTTAAGAATATTTTTACAAATGAAAATCCCCTAAAAATATCACTTTTAATTACAAAATTATCACTTTCCCAAACATATATATGTTAGGTATGTCATTATACGTCATATAAGCTTCAATTTAAGGTACAATTCAACTACAAACGCTTCACAAAACGTTTTAAAGTGTTCTTTTAATATAGAACTAAACTGCCTTTATCGATAAACTTTGAGTTTGAAATAAAATGATTCCAAATTCTCCCATGCAAATAACTTTGATTATTATAATAAAAAGGGTAATCAATAAAGAAACACTGAAATAATACGCTGTCTTGTTTCACAATTATACGCAACGATCGGCTTTTAAAGTAATTATAGTATATTAAAAGCAAACAATGCATCAATATTTAAAACAAACTTACCTTCATTAACGTTGGCACCTTTACTCCCTTCTTTTAGCAATTCTTTTGCCTTTATTTCATCAAAATCTTTGGAAATTTACAAAATCTTGCAAAAATGAAATCTATTTGGAAGAAATCATCAAATCAATTTCACTGTCGTCATATGCAGCCGTTATAATGCCAATTTTAAATTGGACCAATCGGAGTTGGCTATTCATGACAGTCCGCTATATTATGAGATCAGTGAGGATGACCACCCACCGAAACACGCACAGTGATCCATGCCCGCGATAATTGCTGAACTTTAGACTTCGCTAATGGTTTAGTTTCCCCAGGTGTAAATAGCCGGGGGGAATTAGTACCCTCGCATGGCGCTTTGCGCCATTGTCTTTGCAATTAATTAAACAAGCAAGCACCAGTTTACGTACAAATATCATAACAGTTGTATCCCAAAATTTAACCGAATAAATAGCATTATATAATATCAACCAATGCATCATCATCTGTAAAGAACGTTAAGGGTATAAAGGCGAATAAAATGCTGGGCTGATTTGATGCATTTTGTAAGATCAATAGACAATAAGCTGTCGTAACAAGGTGCGATGTGGCACGACCACAGAACATGCAAAAAAACTAAATGAAGCAAGCCAGTTGAGTATTGGATCTTTTTACACAAGTGACTTAAATTTCGTAGTCTGTTCTTCAGGTAATAAATATAGCGCTGTTATGCGTAAAGTGTCAAATTCAATTCCTGTGAATGAGAGCCCACAGATTAGCTCCCAAATATTTGCAAAGACATAAGAAATCAGCAAGATGAATGCGGTATTGGTTTTAA